AGTAAAGCATGGCATCGACCTACTCAAAGAGCTTAACAAAAGTCCCTTAGTGAACTTGAGCCAAAAGGGATTAGAAAATACAATTGCAAGCATGTGAACGTGGCAAAAACATAATCAGTTCTCAGACTTAGTGAAAACTGGAGCATGCTGAAACAGATATCAAGTAGGCATGTTTACGAGCTCGATGCACTCACTACGGAGCAAGTCATGATAATATAAGCATACACCCATCAAGAATACACAAAATGCAAGCTAGACATGGCAAGAACAATAGCATAGAATGCACGGATCAACTACAACATCCTCGGCAAAATCGCTAACAAGTAGACAATCTTCTCAGATTCACGAAGTAGCAAAAGTAGAGCTCAATTGACTCAAGCTAGGGTGCTCCATAATTGCAAACAAAGACATGGATGGATAGAGCACTACAAGATTAACAAAACATCCTTACTGATCATCCTCAAAAGAGGCATGGATCACTAGGAAACAACATGAACATATGGCATCATGAGAAAAACAGATCAAGGACTTAGTGGAAATGCTAAGTCCCTGAAATCAGCATTACCAAGTGCCTCACTTTGCAAGCTTGTGCTAGTTACCACACACATCACAAAAATACATGGGTTGCACCTCTGGAAAGATGGCAAAACCCTTAACAAAACATATGTAGAACTCATGGGCATATCATGCACACAATAATCATGGCAAAAATGACAAATACCTAAATGGAGCAGCAGATCTGACAAATATCTCAAGTAGCACTCTTCTAACAGCATTTCGGGCATCAAGATGAACTCAAATGAAAATGATGCAATGGAATGAAATGATGTACTCTCTAAGATGAACATTTTGATATGCTATATGCCCAAAACGGAGCTACGGATGCAAAGTTACGATGCGATGAACAGGAGCATATGAGCTAGGGTTTCGGGAGAAAGTCAACCACGTCTGGATCTGGATCTGGGATCACTGTAGCATCACACGAACCGAGGATCGCCGGAAATGGCGATGGGCCCGTCGGAGTTGACGAGGAGGCGGCCGGGAGGCGCTCCCGGGCCGGATCTCGCCGGATCCGGCCGTCGGGGAGCCGGAGTGGCGGCGGGGCGGCGCTCCGTGGCGAGGTGAGGCGGCGAGGGGGCTCCGGCCGGCGCGGGCGCGGCGCGGCTGAGGAGCTCCGGGCGGCGGCCGGCAATGGCGCCGCGGTGCCCGGGCGCGGCGAACGGCGTCGGGCGCGGGGGCGGCGAACGGTGGAAGGAGGCGGCAGAGGCCGGGCCGGGAGGGCCCCGCACGGGCCTCGCGGGCCCGTGGGGTCGGCGGCGAACTGGGGACCGGCCCACGGACACGTGGCGCGGTGCGATTCGTCTGGCGGAGCCGGGCGGACACGTCCGACGCGTGGATTTTTGTCCGGCGGTGGCGGGAGGAGTTTTTCTAGGGTTAGGGGGAGAGGAGACCCGGGATTTTCAAGAGGGGATCTATATATAGGCATAGAGGGAGCTAGGAGAGTCCAAATGAGGTGTGGTTTGCGGCCACGCAATTGTGATCGAATGCTCTAGATAATGGAGAGGGTTTTGGTGGGTTTTGGGCCAAATTGGAGGGGTGTTGGGCTGTAACACACACGAGGCCTTTTCGGTCCCTCGGTTAACCGTTGGAGTATCAAACGAAGTCCAAATGGCACGAAACTTGACAGGCGGTCTACCGTTAGTAAACCAAGGCTGCTTGGAAAGTCTCGGTCCAATCCGGAAATGTTTAATCCTCACACATGAAAGAAAGGTAGAAACGACCAACGGAGGAGAACGAAGCGCCGGAATGCAAAACGGACAACGGGGAAAATGCTCGAATGCATGAGATGAACACGTATGCAAATGCAATGCATATGATGACATGATATGAGATGCATGACAATGATAAAAACACACGAAGACAAAGACCCGAACCCGAGAAAATAAAATAACTTAATGCCGGAAACGGCAAGAGTTGGAATACATATTGGGAAAATCATATCCGGGGTGTTACATAAGCGCCGAACAACGGTGCCTCCGCGTTCAACACACTTACAGCCCGGGGACGTCTCCTCCTTCTTGATCCAACAAGGGGAGAGGAGAAGTTGAGTGAGAACTCCGACAGCACGACGGCGTGGTGGTGATGGAGCTCGTGGTTCTCCGGCAGGGCTTCGCCAAGCGCTACGGAGGACTAGGATGTGTTGGAGAGGGGGAGGGCTGCGCCAGGGGAAGGGTGCGGCTGCCCTCCCACCCCTACTATATATAGGGGCATGGGAGAGGGGGCCGGCCCCCCTTAGATGCATCTAGAGGGGGCAAGGGGGAGGCTTGCCCCCCAAGTTAGGTGGGGCGCCCCCTTTAGGGTTTCCCCCAACCCTAGGCGCACGGGACCTAGGGGAGTTGGCTCCTAGCCCACCTAGGGGCTGGTTTCCCTCTATATTCAGTCCATAGGGCCCCCCGGGGCAGGTGGACCCTCCCGGTGGACCCCTGAAACCCCTTCGGTGGTCCCGGTACAATACCGGTAACCTCAAACACTTTCGGCGACCGAATAAGGACTTCCCATATATAAATCTTCATCTCCGGACCATTCCGAAACTCCTCGCGACGTTCGGGATCTTATCCGGGACTCCGACCAACCTTCGATAACCACATACTATTTCCCATAACAACTTTACCGTCACTGAACCTTAAGTGTGTAGACCCTACGGGTTCGGGAACCATGTAGACATGACCGAGACATCTCTCCGGCCAATAACCAACGGCGGGATCTGGATACCCATGTTGGCTCCCACATGTTCCACGATGATCTCATCGTATGAACCACGATGTCGGGGATTCAATCAATTCCGTATACAATTCGCTTTGTCCATCGGTATGTTACTTGCCCCAGATTCGATCGTCGGTATCCCCATACCTCGTTCAATCTCGTTACCGGCAAGTCTCTTTACTCGTTCCATAACGCATGATCCCGTGGCTAACTCCTTAGTCACATTGATCTCGTTATGATGATGCATTACCGAGTGGGCCCAGAGATACCTCTCCGTCATACGGAGTAACAAATCCTAGTCTCGATTCGTGCCAACCCAACAAAAACTTTCGGAGACACCTGTAGTGCACCTTTATAGCCACCCAGTTACGTTGTGACGTTTGGTACACCCAAAGCATTCCTACGGTATTCAGGAGTTGCACAATCTCATGGTCTAAGGAAATGATACTTAACATTATAAAAGCTTTAGCAAACGAACTACACGATCTTGTGATACGCTTAGGATTGGGTCTTGTCCATCACATCATTCTTCCAATGATGTGATCCCATTATCAATGACATTCAATGTCCATGGTTAGGAAACCATGACCATTTATTGATCAACGAGCAAGTGAACTAGAGGCTTACTAGGGGCTTACTAGGGGCATATTACGATCTATGTATTCACACATGTATTACGGTTTCCGGTTAATATAATTATAGGATGAACAATAGACAATTGTCATGAACATGGAAATATAATAATAACCACTTTATTATTGCCTCTAGGGCATATTTCCAACACAACAATCTCCGAGATTTCCCCCTTGGTAGTGGCAACGGTTCGCACGCAGGTGGTCAACAGGAGACTGGTACGTGAGGCTCTAGGCATGCATGCTTGGATGAATGACGTAGTGGGTAACCTATGCACACAAGGTTTGACCCAGTTCATCGGGCTTTAGGAGATCATTTCAGAGGTGCAATTGGAGGATCATATGGAGGACCGTCCCATTTGGGCTTGGAACAAGTCGGGAGTTTACACAACATCATCCGCTTATAAGATGCTTTGTGAGGGAGGAGTGAGATTTCACTCATTCGGAGCCATCTGAAAATGTTGGGCTCCACTAGCGTGCAAGATCTTCGTGTGGTTAGCAGTTCAATACCGATTGTGGACATCGGATAAAAGGACGAGACATGGGTTGCAAGACCAAACATGAAGGTGCTTCTTATGCGACCAGGAGGAAGACACGGTGGACCATATTTTGCAGTAGTGCGTGTTCTCGCGGCAAGTGTGGTTTCGTTCCATTGCTAGAATGGGGTTGAGGATTGAGCTTTGCCCGGCAAATGATTCTAGGTTGGTGTAATGGTGGATGGAAGATAGGAAACAAATCCACAAGCAAACTCGGAAAGGGTTCGACACGTTCGTGATGCTTATCTGCTGGACTCTTTGGAAACAGAGGAACTCGAGGGTCTTCGGATCGGGACAGAGCAAGAATGAGGGTGATACGGTGGACATGATCTTCGGCGACTTGAGGACTTGGGCCACGGCAGGAGCGTTTGGAGAACACCTAGTATCCAAGTAGTCGAGTAGCATGAGGGAGTGTAATGGAGGCTGGGTTAGGGTCGACTTGTGACGCCTAACTAGCAAATTTTGTAATCTCTTGTATGTAATTGTCTCTCTTCTATAAAGCTAAGGTACGTCATTGGCGTACCCTCGAAAAAAAATACTCCATATAGAATTGTATATACATGTGAGAGCTAAAGGGTATTTCCCAAGGACGGAAGCCTTAGTGAAAGCAATGAAGTTGAGAGAAAGAGAAGAGCGGTGAGGAACAGACGCGAGAGGATTAGGTAAGCTGAGATATTTTTTAAGAAGAGAGGCGCTGGCTGCATCGTAGGATCACACCCCATCGCACGTTTCTCGTGTGACCGGCGCAAAAGCTTGAGCATTTCCCATTTCTCATGGGATGTCATCGACCAGACTCTATATAAAGGCTATCCTTGTACCATTGCTAAGCTAAGAAATCAAAGCCATCTTGTTGTATTTCAGTTCTTTAATTTCCAGTAAGTAAATTGTCTTGTTATCATACAAGAATTTATCCTGTTCATCTCCTCTAACCCCGTCAGGATCAGATTTTTGCCGATCTCTCTTCGTCACGTCCATCGGGATCCTGACAGTCTTGTGTACAGGTGATCGATCCCGCGCAGGCAGGCAGACAGCTGAACCTGCGAGGCTAGATCGACCCCTCGGCCCCGCCATGAAGTGCCCTTCCGATTCCTCGGCTGCTCATGATCCTCCTCCCGCTTCTGCCGGTGGCGGCTCCAGCGAGCCAGCCAAGAAGCGGCAGCGGACCTCGAGCTCGAGCCAGGCTGAGGCATCCTCGTCCTCACAGCCTCCACCGGCGCCGCCGGGGGACGCGAGAGAGGTGCCGGATCTGGGGGAGGACGTGATGTTCGAGGTGCTGCGGCGGGCGGAGGCGCGGACGCTGGCCGCCGCGGCGTGCGTGAGCCGGGGCTGGCGGATCCTCGCGCAGGACGAGCGGCTGTGGGAGGCGCCGTGCGTGAGGGAGTGGACCGGCCTCGGCTTCTCGGAACAGCTGCTCCGCGACGTCGTGCTCTCTTTCGGCGGCTTCCGCCGCCTGCACGCCGTCTCCATCCGGGCCCGACGGCGGTTCGGCGTTGGCTGCGGGAACTGGCACGGCGTGCAGACGCCGGGACAGGGGAGGAGGAGGGGGCTGCCGTGGACCGTCGACGAGCACAGGTGAGCACAGTGTTCTTCTGATCTCACTGTCTTGTGAGAGTGATTGCTCTGCTCCATCTATGTCATGCACAAGACTAGTTAGTGATATAAATTTTCTTTGGCCAGGTTGTTGAAGCTGATCATGCTCCAAGTGTGGCTATACTGGTTGTTGAAGCTGATCATGCCTTGTTCTTTGGCCAGGTTGTTCCTCTTAGGCCTGAAGACGTACGGAAGAGGGGATTGGAGGAACATATCACGCAACTTCGTGCGGACGAGGACGCCGACGCAGGTGGCCAGCCACGCTCAGAAGTACTTCATCAGGCTCAGCTCAGGGGCGGCAAGGAGGTCGAGCATCCACGACATCACCACAGTTCACCTGACCGACGACCAGCCTCCCTCGCCGTCCCAGTGATTGATGATCAACCAGTCCAGCGCACCGGCTCAGCGCGGCAACGGGGCAGTTCTCGCTGCCAGCCGACACCAAGCAGCACGGCGAGGCGAGCGCGCACTTCGGTTCGCCGAACCGGGCTCATGCCGAACTACGGCAGGGTTTGCAAGATCAAGGCCTGCAGTGTGGTCCTCTACATGATCAGCTGGCCGCGAACCGGAGTACCGAGTACGCTGTATTACATGATCAGCTGGCAGGGTTTGCAAGATACTGAGAATGTAAGGGGAAAAGGATGTCTAGAACTTGATGCTGTAGTATCTTGAGACAGACAGGGAATACTAGTGCTCAGTACTGATGATGCACATTGTCAAGTGACTTGTTTTCAATCTTCATGGATCCTGCTTTCTGGTCAGCTCATGTTATTGAAAACCTTACTCATGCAGCATCTCACACATACCTATCCACATCTATGATCTATCATTCATCCATTCAAGCATATATATACAACCTGTCTTAGTGCTTGCGCCGTCTGTATGTTTGCGAGTGTAATTTTTCCGGATAAACCAAAATGAGTTTGCAGTGAGTAATTCAGCATTTACCTGCCTTGCTCATCTGGTCAACTTTTCCCTTGATTACAGCTCTAATTATTTCCAGCCTTGTGGATTGAGCTTTGCATTGCTTGTGTGCAATTAAGTCCTTTAAACAAATAGGAAATCCTTCTCTTGTATAGATCTATACTACTAATACTGATGATGATGATGATGACGCTGGATCCACCGAACAATGGAATTGGAAATGAGTCAGACTTGCACTAGCTTTGGCATCTCATGCTTTCCATCAACTTTTCCAAAAACTTTCGCTCTGTCCTTTTTGGCTCTCTTCTTCCTCATTAAGAAAATGCAGGGACATGAGGCAAATCCCTCCCTGTGACAACAGTAGTTAATGGAACAGGGAGCAGCACTTGGGCACAAAACGTTTTGTTTTTTTGGCCAACTTGTGTGTTGGGTGCTTGTGCTTTTCTGCCTCTCCTTTTCTGCAAGGGTCAGTGCAGAAACACAAAACCACTCACTCAGCTCTCTGGTGATGATGATCATGATGGAGGAGGGACTGTTGTGTGTCATTAGAAGTTTCTGGGTGTGATGGATGGATGTGGTGTTGTGGTTGCTGCTGCTCCAAGCAGCATTTCTTCAGGCATGCTGCCTTTCCATGTCGCCTGTACACCATTCTTTTCTTTCTGATATCATGTAGCAATGCATTCTTTTCAAAATTATTGATGGAGACATGACCAATCAAGGTGGAAAGCATGGTTTACGTTGACGATATTCTTACCATGAAACATGTGTTTCTGTTACTTACTTACTTTTGCTGTCATTTTACAACAGCTTCAGCCGCAGGGAGACGCAGGAAGACCGGTCGACCCCGTGCCGAACATTTCTTCATCTTGACAATCAATCTGAGGTGACTTTTAACAGTTTAACTTGCGTCTGTACTTCTCAGACCCAATGACCCATAACCGGTAAGTCTATGGCATGAATTCCGGCCACGGTTAGTTTTTGACGTTTGCACTGACAACAAAAGCAAACATTTGTACACAATAGAAAAAAGCACACTGTTGTTTCTGAACCCGAAGATGAGAGCCTTAATAAGGAACTAATTCTCCAAAAATAAAAGAAACCAGTGGCGGAGCCAGAACTTTTGCGAAGCCCGGGCAAATTTGGGGCTAATTGTCTAATCTGGAAACCAAAATAGGGTGTTCGGATGCACAACATATAAAATAGCATCAAAATTTCAAACCACAAATCCACATTAATGATGTAGTGAAAATATAACCATAGAAATCATGCAAATGTAATTTTAGAGTGAAATAATATAATATATACTCCCTCCGTCTCGTTGTTATATTCGTTAGATCTTACATGCAGATCCGTGTCGAATTTTCTTTTAATTTATCTTCTTCTTTTTAATAGGTTTTGTCACTTGGTTGAGACTTGATTAAGTCCACATCCCCAAAAATAAAGTTGAGACTTGACAACATAAGTTATAGAACCAGGCATGTAACCAAACTCGTCATATTGCCGGCGGACCATCCAAATTACCACAGATGTCCTAGAAGACACTATAAGATTAAGAAAATGGATTTGTAATTGACATAAATTAATTATTGTGGTTTGCAAATATATTCAAAATAGAGGGCTTGCAACCATCTCTCACGTGGCAATATGAGATGGTGATTATGGCTCTACTTATGTTTTCAATTGCACACCACTCACATTTCAAAGCCAAAACCCGCCGGATCTCTCAAATTTAATAATTTGAAGTTTGAAATTAACACCAACTATCTAAAAAAACATACATGATGGACTGAGCACATAAAGTGGTTATCATCCTCAATGACCAATTCCCCATGCCATGGCCTCAAAATAAGTATATTAATCTTACCTAATTACGAAGACGGGACAAACATCCGATGATGCAAGCCGTTCCTAGGAATCTCGGGTGGATGGATGGATGCACTCCGGCGCCGCCTCCGCCTGCGTCCGCGCGCCTAGGCCAGTCTCCACTCGTTGCCGGTCTGTTTTTATATTTCTCTCTTTTATATTTTTGTTTTTGGCTGTATGCATCTTTGATGTGTTCCGATATGTTGTTGGTAGAGATGCTGGGTATAATTGCAATCTTTGCGATATTTAATATATTCCCGTTATTATAAAAAAATCGATTGAGGATGCCGCCGTTTGAACAGGAGCTAAACGAACCGGGGTTCACAAGGACGTGGAGCGATCGACCGGTCCTTTCCTTCTCGTCTCTACTAAAATAAAAAACAAAAAAACAAACCGGACAAGTTTTTTTTAGGCAAACAAACCGGACAAGTAGGTTTGTCTCACGTGGGTACTCGTAGCCCATTAGCCTGTTAGTGCTTAAATTAATTAATTACAGTATATAAGTATTGACTAGAAAGAAAATGGAAGCCCATTGGCCTAGCTGGCCACTGCCCGGGTAAACCACCATGCGAGGAGTATTTTCACTGTTTTGATAACTTCATCGTAGCATGTAGCGCAGCTGCGAGCACCGGCAACTGCCCAGGCTGGCCGTGGCGCTGACAGAAACAGTTACAGTGTCAGACCGATGAACCTTCTGCATGCACCCGGAAGGATTCAGATAAAAAAAGAAACAGGAGTTGGTGAAATTTCTGACTCAAACCAGGATCTGCCACAAGGGAGGGAGAGCGCATCACTCATCAGGAAGGTAGACAGATGGGCAGCAGCATTCCCAGAATAGAAAGAGCTCACTCAATCTGATGAACAATGATCATTATGATCTCTAACTAGCTAACTGAATTGCCAAGGACATCCAGTCTCAGACAACATTAAATAGCACTGCAGCATTGAAAGAAGTGACCGAAAAAAAATAGTGACATTGACATTCAGGTTCAGTTTTTTTTTTGCTGAAAAGATCCAGGTTGAGTTTAGCAGGAACAAAAGAAGTTGTGGGAAGAGATTTAGGCATCATCTCGCTGGTTCCTGGACTGGTTTCAACAGCAGCAGCAGCAAATCAGAGAAGAAAGAGAGAGGGATGATTGACGTTTGGCGAAACAAAACTGATTTCTTTTGCTCATTTCGTCCAGCAACGAAAATTCTTGCCCTGTTTTGGGACGGAGGGAGTACTATGTAGTAGGCATGAACAGTCAAGGTGGGGAAAACATTTTTCATCAACGGCACGACTTCTTGCCCTGTTTTTTCTTTCGCGACATAGAACATGTGTTCCTGCTTTGGCCGTCATTTAACAACCGATTCGGTCTCTCACGGAGACGCGGACAGATCGGTAGACTCCGTGCCATGGCTTTACCTTGCGTCTCTACTTGCTAGCTGGTGGGACTGATGAACCTTGTGCGTCCAGGAGGGTTGAGTTGAGATAGAAAATGGAAGCTGGTGAGGTTTCTGACGCAGCAGACAAGTTGTTCTTGTGGTGATGCTGGTGCACTGCACAAGTGGCAATGGTGCTGTGCTGCAGCAACCAGGATCTGAGTCAGATGGGCAGGCAGTGTGAGAAATCAGATTGGCAGAGCAGATTGGCAGGCAGGAAGGAGTCGGCAATGGTAGGTAGCACTCCCAGAATAGAAAGGCTCTGTCACTCTGATGGACGGTGGTGATTACGATCACTAACTAACTAACTGACTGACTGAATTGCCGAGGATATCCATTTTCAGACAGAGTTAAATAGTAGTAGTGCTGAAAGAAGTGCTCCGGGAGCACCTGATGTTTTCCCGTCGTACGTACCAAATACAGTACCTAGTAGCATTGACGTTCAGATTTGGGAGTTGTGAAATCTGAGGAGAATGATTGATCCATTCCAGCAGAGTTTTTTTTTTTTGACAAAGGATGTTTTTTATTAACTCATAATGAAGCATCAAGAGGATTCCAGCAGAGTTGGGTCTACTCCATCACAACATGCACACAGCCAAGGCTCCGGGGAATTAGAAACAATAAGATACGCATCAATGAGGCAGCCTCGCCTATGCCACGTCAATTTTACTGTGTCGAGAGTAAAAACCGCATCGACTGATCCATCCTGCTCTCACACGTCTCCTCTCGTCTCCTTTCTCACGAGACCTCTCGCCCCGCGACTCCTCGCCGCCACCATCACTCTCGACGGCCGATTCCGGTGAGTCCCGGCGGCGTGTGGCAGACCAACAACCTCCCCTCGCCCCGCTCCTTCCTCCC